TTAACTGTGACAAGACTGAAGTCATGCTTATTGGCACCCCCCATCGACTTTGTAAAGCCAATCTTGTAACCCTATCTGTAGATGGTTCTCTACTTGATCTTCAATCTAAATTGAAAAACCTTGGGGTTATATTTGATTCTGGCTTAACATTTGACCCACATGTGCAGCATATTGTCAAAACATCTTTCTTTCACCTCAGAAACATTGCTAGACTACGCCCTATGTTATCACTAACTGTGGCTGAAAAGCTGATCAACACATTTGTCTTCTCCCCAATTGACTACTGTAATGGTCTACTTGCTGGCGTATCTAAATCCACATTTAACAAATTACAGTATGTGCAAAATTCAGCAACCAGAATCCTGACCAGGTCTACTGTAAGTGATCACATTACTCCTATCCTGGAGTCCTTACACTTGCTTCCTGTCAAGTTTTGTGTCATCTTCAAAATCCTCATGCTCACCTATAAGGCTCTCCATGGCTTGGCACCTCAGTACATTCTTTACCCCTCTGCTCCTACTGTATTTAGTACCACCATCTACTGTCTCCTCTGCATATTCTTATCATGTTTATCTTATGTATTTTATATTGTTTATTTTTAATTGTCATTGTTGCTGTTGTCATTCTGTAAAGCCCTTTGAGAAGCCACCTTTAAAGGCACTATATAAAATAAAGTTTATAATTATTATCAACAATATTCTGTCCATTGGGGAACAAAAAACACATCACTTGCCAGAACTTTCCTTATTATATGGTAACAGGTGTTTGTGTGTGTGAGAGAGTATGGAAATGCAGTGCATAACTGATGTGCCCTTAAACTATGGTAAGTATGCCACATGTGTTAGTACTTTAAAATCACCTTCTTGCATTACAGAGAAGTTATTAAAAATACTTTAAAACAGTATTTAGTGAATGATTCTCTCTCTGCACAATATTAAATTTATGCTGATGCATTGTTTAGAGTTTTATTGTATTTCCTTCTTTTGTTATGTCATCGTTTTATTTATACACATATTGATTGCAGCACTATATTGATTGCGTGCTACTGTATATCAATCTAAATTAGGGCCTCTGATAAGCCAAAAAGCACACACAGCCACCCTTTAACAGTGATGGTGTGTGTGCTTTTTTCAAGGAAGTGATTTAAGATGTTTTTAAGATGCCAAAGGCATCTGTGATATACTGTTCTATACAACTTCAGATGCTTATGTTTAACCTCACTTGTCTGAGATCGGGAGCATGCGGCGTGCCTTTTCAAATATCATGTTCCCCAAAACCTCCAGCATGACAGTGCAAAGTCTCATGTCACTGTGGAGGTTTACAGTACCCACAAGATTAGAACATCCCTCGGTCTCCAACTGCTGATACAATGTTGATTGCACCATTACAGTGTTGAAATTGTTACACCTTCCACTAAAATTCAATATTGAACTACAAGAGCTTTGTCTTGCTCAGGAAAAGAAAGAAAGAATACTCCAGATATACTTTTTACTTTTTATAGTAAAAAGTATATCTCTAGTCTATCATGGTTTATCTGTATTCCCACTAATAAGTTTCATATATGATACTTATTTAAGAATAGTAACTTAACCCTGAATATATGTGACAATCCCTGGCAAAAATGAGTCAATCTTTTGCATAAGCTTGGTCGTGTCATTGCTAAAACTCATTAGTATTGCTTAACAACCCTCAGTGATGTAGTGTAGTTTTAAAGCTGGTTAGCATTGGAATAACTGGACATCACTGTAACTGTTTGATCAGAGGATGGTTCACTTGTGCAACAAATGAGCACTAAGAAAATATTACTTGACCAACATCTTCGTTATATTCATGATCTTGTTCATGCCAATACCAAGAACTATGCCCTCTTTAAACAGGGTAGTTGCAAAACTATCTTAGTGGTTTTCTTTATGTTCTTCGGACAAACATGATCTAATCTTGATTTAGATATCGGTCTAGGTTTTTTAGATGGTTGTAACACTTTTATTCTGAATATAACAATCGCCACTTAAGCAGTACTTTGCTAATTTGCAGCAATATACCTTTTGACACCTTTGACTTGGTCGTAAGTGTGGTTAAAAAACAATGTACCTGCAGCAATTGAGACTCCCTTGCTTCTGCACCCAGCTACAAATATGTACCAATTGAATGGCTGTTTTGTTTTTGATAAGTGTAAGCTTCCATAATCTAACACTGTAAATACAAGT